TAGCATTTATAATGTTAGTAAGTATATAACAAGAATGTAAGCATATGTAACAAAAACTGGATGTCCCAACAGCATGGATACAACCAAATGTCTCGAAACCATTAAATACAATAGTTTTAGGAAATCGAATAGCTCATCTGGTGATAAACTTGGCTTTGTCGTTCACATTCACTTTGAAGGTCATTTCAAGGGCAATTTGATTTTTCAAATAAGAACTACTTGTTTATTACAGAGAGAGAATGCCAAAAAAATCTACTTCAGCGATATGAATATAAAAGGAGCTTAAATTACCCCCAGAATCTATTTTAAGATTAATTGTCGCTGTCTCATGACATGTTGCGTAGCAGCGGATAGCTAGATAAAGAACAATATTAAAGGAGATTTGTTAATGAGAAAATTGCGGGTCATCCAGCAGCACATCTGGTCGAGATCGACCTTGACTAGGATCTTGAAGGTCAAGCCCAGGTCAAATTGAGTTTTTCACAAGGAACCCTTTAACTTTGATCCAAGAGCTGAAAGTGATGAAAAATGTATGTTGAATTTGACCTTACAATGTCCTTCAAAGCATAGCCAAGGTCAGAATGAAGGTCACCATCAGATGTGTCAATGAATGTCCTGCAATCACCACAAGTTTTTCTCTAATATTCTTTCATTTTTCAGCTATTCGCTGCTTCACAACATTCCATGGAAGAACAACAGTTGACCTTGAAATAACCTCTAGATACAATTTTAGCCCCTGTGATATTTTTAGCATTGCAAGGATTTTTTTTGCTTTCTACTCCTGCAATAAAAAATGGGGTTTCCGTGTGAAAAATCAACTTACCCTTCAGGGTCAAATCCAAGATCACAACTAGATGTGCCATTTGATGACCTAAAACTCTCGTATTTAGAGTTTTTTCTAGGACCCTTAGTATCCAAAGCATTTGGGTGTGTCCATACTTTTGGGTCACGCTGTATACGTATGCATACAAGAATTGATATTTTATTATAAGACAATCTTTATATTTCTACATGGAGTACCAACGGGTAAAAAATTTTAGTCCGTGCGAAAACTCCTTCCCTGGTCAGCAATTAATTCCAAGCTGCAGCTTATATTAAGGTTAATCTGTGCAAGGTCAGAATGAAGGTCACCATCAGATGTGCCAGTAAATGTCCTGCAATCACCACAAGTTTTTCTCTAATATTCTTTCATTTTTCAGCTATCCGCTGCTTCACAACATTCCATGGAAGAACAACAGTTGACCTTGAAATAACCTCTAGATACAATTTTATCCCCTGTGATATTTTTAGCATTGCAAGGATTTTTTTTGCTTTCTACTCCTGCAATAAAAAATGGGGTTTCCGTGTGAAAAATCAACTTACCCTTCAGGGTCAAATCCAAGGTCACAGCTAGATGTGCAATTAATGACCTAAAACTCTCGTATTTAGAGTTTTTTTCTAGGATCCTTAGTATCCGAAGCATTTGGGTGTGTCCATACTTTTTGGTCACGCTGTATACGTATGCATACAAGAATTGATATTTTATTATAAGACATTCTTTATATTTCTACATGGAGTACCAACGGGTACAAAATTTTAGTCCGTGCGAAAACTCCTTCAATGGTCAGCAATTAATTCCAAGCTGCAGCTTATATTAAGGTTAATCTGTGCAAGGTCAGAATGAAGGTCACCATCAGATGTGCCAGTAAATGTCCTGCAATCACCACAAGTTTTTCTCTAATATTCTTTCATTTTTCAGCTATCCGCTGCTTCACAACATTCCATGGAAGAACAACAGTTGACCTTGAAATAACCTCTAGATATAATTTTAGCCCCTATGATATTTTTAGCATTGCAAGGATTTTTTTTGCTTTCTACTCCTGCAATAAAAAATGGCGTTTCCGTGTGAAAAATCAACTTACCCTTCAGGGTCAAATCCAAGGTCACAGCTAGATGTGCCATTTGATGACCTAAAACTCTCATATTTAGAGTTTTTTCTAGGACCCTTAGTTTCCGAAGCATTTGGGTGTGTCCATACTTTTTGGTCACGCTGTATACGTATGCATACAAGAATTGATAATTTATAATATGACACTCTTTATATTTCTACATAGAGTACCAACGTGTACAAAATTTTTGTCCGTGCGAAAACTCCTTCCCTGGTCAGCAATTAATTCCAAGCTGCAGCTTATATTAAGGTTAATCTGTGCAAGGTCAGAATGAAGGTCACCATCAGATGTTCCAGTAAATGTCCTGCAATCACCATAAGTTTTTCTCTAATATTCTTTCATTTTTCAGCTATCCGCTGCTTCACAACATTCCATGGAAGAACAACAGTTGACCTTGAAATAACCTCTAGATACAATTTTAGCCCCTGTGATATTTTTAGCATTGCAAGGATTTTTTTGCTTTCTACTCCTGCAATAAAAAATGGGGTTTCCGTGTGAAAAATCAACTTACCCTTCAGGGTCAAATCCAAGGTCACAGCTAGATGTGCCATTTAATGACCTAAAACTCTCGTATTTAGAGTTTTTTTCTAGGACCCTTAGTATCCGAAGCATTTGGGTGTGTCCATACTTTTGGGTCACGCTGTATACGTATGCATACAAGAATTGATATTTTATTATAAGACACTCTTTATATTTCTACGTGGAGTACCAACGTGTACAAAATTGTAGTCCGCGGCGAAAACTCCTTCCCTGGTCAGCAATTAATTCCAAGCTGCAGCTTATATTAAGGTTAATATGTGCAAGGTCAGAATGAAGGTCACCATCAGATGTGTCAATGAATGTCCTGCAATCACCACAAGTTTTTCTCTAATATTCTTTCATTTTTCAGCTATCCGCTGCTTCACAACATTCCATGGAAGAACAACAGTTGACCTTGAAATAACCTCTAGATATAATTTTAGCCCCTATGATATTTTTAGCATTGCAAGGATTTTTTTTGCTTTCTACTCCTGCAATAAAAAATGGGGTTTCCGTGTGAACAATCAACTTACCCTTCAGGGTCAAATCCAAGGTCACAGCTAGATGTGCCATTTAATGACCTAAAACTCTCGTATTTAGAGTTTTTTTCTAGGACCCTCAGTACCCGAAGCATTTGGGTGTGTCCATACTTTTGGGTCACGCTGTATACGTATGCATACAAGAATTGATATTTTATCATAAGACACTCTTTATATTTCCACATGGAGTACCAACGTGTATAAAATTGTAGTCCGTGGCGAAAACTCCTTCCCTGGTCAGCAATTAATTCCAAGCTGCAGCTTATATTAAGGTTAATCTGTGCAGTCGCAGTTATCCTTCGCAAAATGGAACACAACGCTTTCGGATAAACTCCCCGATAGCGAAGCAACTTTCAACCGACCAAAAAAAAAGTCAGCGCTCGGGGAAAAGGCGCTCTCACAGAATCCATTATGGCATGTCGGGAACTTTCAGCGAATTTCCGAAAACAGGTCGCAACCCTTTATTAAAGATTAAAATTTCATAAAGTGGAAAATGAAATGCGAGCGACAAAGCATTAACACATCAGAGGAGACGTCAGAAAAACACTTGCCGGCGGTTTAGGGGATTAGACTCGATCGAAACTTCCCTGGCCGGAACTGCTTTTTTGATGCGGTGTTCCATGATGCAACACATAATAAAAGGACTTTGCGTTTTCTTTTTCTTTTTTTTGGCGTAAATTTATATAACCTTCTGATGTGCCATCGTAAAGTACGAACTGAAATTTATTGAAACCTATTGTTGGTTTCTCGACACATGTCAGTATTGGTTGAATTTCAGTCCATTTGTTCTCACATACGTGCTCGACAAAGTTGTCAGCAGTGAGCCTCTCGCCGAGCGCCACTACCAGTTGTCTCTGGTAGTCAATCCATCTATTGACACTTTTTTTGGTCTGACAAATAATGACAGCAGCGGTTGACCCCACATACATACGACGCCTATATTCCACTATCAGTCCGATTACATTCCCCTTTTGGTTCACCGCATGTACATCGATCGGTTCAGTTAATAATAATAATAATAATAATAAAATGTCTTAATTATGCACATTATAAAAACTACAATATAATGTGACCTCTACGTAGGCGAAGTCTAGCTCTTGGCTACTCTACTTAACCTGCCCAAATGATAAATTGAAACATCACTTAATCAAACGAAACTTTGACAAGCAGCTAAAAACGCCTCAAAACAAACGAACTTGATAGCTGGCTGACATACATACACATATATATATATATATATATATATATATATATATATATAGGTGAAAAATTAAAGCTTCCGCCTTTTGTTGGGTACTTCGACAAAATTTAAGCAAAGAGGACTCTTTATACTTTTTTTAATTCTCTCTAGCTTTCAATGGACTTTGCCATCATCATCAGGAGCTGCAATTACAATGATAATAGTAGCAACAATAGTGTAAAATGAATTTAAATTGACTTAACTTACAGTAGTATGTGAGGATGTTGCTAATTGTTGTTTACGTATAGGATGAGGGAAACGCCCAGTAACATGCTGAAAGCTGGATAGATGGTACAATGGTCAAAATTATATAAAATATACACAATGATGAGTAAATGACACTCAGTTGCTTAACATCTGTCTTTTTGTTGATACACTTGTTATTCATGAAAATGTGGGACATTTCCAGGAATAAACGTACAACAGAGGCCCTAAAACTGAACCCTGAGGGACACCTGAGGTTATATCAATCGGACTGGATATAGTATTGTCTATCTCTACTACTTGTTCACGATTTCAAAGATATGTTATAAAAAACATTATAGGTATGTCTGAAAAACCAAAAAACTTCAATTTAGCACATAAAAGATCATGATCTATTTTATCGAACGCTTTAGAATAATCTAATGATACAAGTGCTGATACAAGTGCTACAAGTTCCCCCCGCTATGCACTTTACTCCCATCTAATAGTGTATTTCTTGATAGTATGGACTACCATATTTGTATTTTAAAGGATAGGAGATATTCCCTTTTGATATCCAATAAAATACAAGGTTGATATAGAGATTTATTTTTTTTTGTGGGTGTTGACGTTTTCTTGACAGTGTTTCTGTTGTTAACAATAATTACTTAAAGATAGAATTTTTTTGATGACAAATTTCATGAGACCAACTCTGACTAACATAACTGTAGTTTCTCTATTGTCGTTTCGTTCTTGATCTTGTCGTACGGTCCGCAGTTACGTGTGCTTTCTGAAATGAAGAATCAAATTCAAACTCGCTAGTTTTCTTGTCTTATGAAGTTGTCACAGCTACTTAGATGTAACGCAGTGTTATCATATCTATCGATTCAAATCATAGTATACTGATTTTAATGATAATCTACCGAAAATTAAGAATTTCCTTTTTCTCTTTCCAAAACGTAATTTTTCGCACATTTCATAAACGAAAGTTGTCAAAATTAATCTTCCCAGCCGCGATGGACTTACTTGGAGGGAGAGTGTAAAAAGTGGTTTCCGCGTTTGAATAAATGTCCAGAGCAAATGACAACTACTGAGAAAAATAGCAATATTCCTTGTGCCTGAAAAAAATGTGGGAACCCTATTTTTTAAACAATTCTCGTATTTCTGTTGTGAAATACCTCGATAAACCACAAAAATACTACTTTTTAAGACTATACTTTTTAGCGCATATCGCAAATACTTCATTGCTTACTTTAAAATGAAGGATTAGGATGTAACTTGCACGAAAATATCATTTTTTCTTTAAGGACTCTGCTTGCTATTTGATAGAACCTCAAAGTTGCATCTTTGGTGGTAATACTCTAGAATGGAATACTGTTTTATACGCCTTTTTTGCTTTTTGCACCAAATGATGCTCTAAATTATAAAAATATAACATACACTGTATAGTACTAAGGAAAATAGATGTGAAACTGTGAGAAATCGTTGTTTTTTGCAAAAAAACGTTCAAAATCAGCCGTGTTATTACACATTATCTTATTAACTAAAATAACAGTTGAAAATACATACGTATGATGGTATGTACTTGGTAAACTGTTTAGAGATGTTGTCTTGTGATTTTTCAAAGTCCTCTTGAAATTCCTTAACCATTTTTTTCGCGTATTTTCAATAAGATCAAAGTTTTTGCGTTTATAAGAAATATTTGAAAGTACAAAAAATTCTGAATGGCCATTTTATAACGTTCATTTCTTGACAGATAAGATAAATGATGTCCATTGTTGCCAAGGTGTACCTTTTTTTGGGAGAAATACGTGATAAAAAATGAGGTTATTTGCAAAATAAAAGTCTCAATGTATTGTAAATGGCTTATTTTATGAGAAGTTGACCCAGTATTTACTGAAAACTAAAATTTTGAACAGTATGTATTTAAACAGTGGAAAATGCACCACCGGCTTGCGTAACAGAAAATACAAAAGGCACCAGCGATCATTGCATATAAAAAAACCGAAGTTCATTATTTAGTTATTGGCAACAGCTACTTTTTCAGTTATTTCTCATACTCAAGAATAGAATAGAATAGCTGTGCCAAACTCCGCCAATAAAACCATTTATTTATTATTATATATATATATAATATTTAATTAGGCATATTTTGTGACATCGGCTTCATTTTAAATAATTCTGGAAGAACATACAAAAAGTAAATAGATCATAACTATAATATAGGAAAAACAATAACCGAAGTACTTTTGTGAAGGGCATGAAGCATTCTTCAAAAAAGTGTCTAGCTAACGCTATGGTTAGGCACGAAGTAGATTTAGTACAGTAAAACCTGCCGGTCACACTTCCAAATCGCATTTTAATGACAATCCTGTGCCGATTGCACATTTCAGCGCTAGTATACAGGGTGTCCCAGAAGTCGACGTCAAGCCGAAACCGGGTGATAGGCGAAGTCATAACAGCTATCAGAAAAATATTTAAAAAAATTTTATGTATGTGTTTTGAAAATTATAGGTCTTTGAAAAAGATATAGAAATTTCACACCCTACGGCAGTCTGTCAACTCCTGTTACTACAAATATTAACTTTTTTTGAATTTTATTTTTACAATGTAATGATGAATAATGCGTCTTCAAACTGGTGTCTCAACCTTACTGCCACCTTTTCTCGTTCAGGAAAAATTGCCACTTATTTCCTAACCAAGTATTCCAAAGTAAAACTTTGCTCAACTTTAACTGGCTGTACTGGAAAAAATGTACTACGAGAGTTTGGCAAGTAACCTTAAAAGTTGGCGCATTTAATAAGGATTCCAGAACAGTATAACACTTAGAAGATTACTCGTTAACTTATGCACAATTTTTATTTGAAGAAAAACTGATGAAAATTTTTCAAAATTTCCTAATTAAACAGCGATTATGAAAACGCACAAGGACCCTTAAGGATAACTGTTTGCACAACAGTGGGCGTCAAAATGCTGCTGATGATGCTTTTCCTTTACAGCAAATGCACAAACTTTTTTCCTTCAGCCGCAATACACGCTCGACATCTTCTTAAAAAAGATCGGGTTATTAAACGAGCGAATCCACGGTTATTAACAAACTCAGCTGCTTCCAATAGTCTTTGCCGTAGCTCAGCTATATTTTGAATCAGCTTGAAATACACTTTTTCTTTTACAGTTCCCTAGTAAAAAAATCTGAAGGATTCAAATCAGGTGATCGGGCTGGCCACGGTATTGTACTAGACCGCCTTATCCATCTGCTTGGAAAGTTTTGATCAAGATACTCTCTCACTGAGAGTGCATAGTGCGCTGGGCAGCCATCATGCTGAAACCACATGTCCCTGTAAATACTCAGTGGCACGTCCACCAATAAATGTTGTACATGATTTTTAAAAAAATCCAAATAAACTTCAGCAGCCAAAGTCTCTTGGAACTCAAACGGACCGATTATTTTACCATTTAAAATTCCTGTCCAATGGTTTATCTTGAAGCGATATTGAGACTTATCTTCTCTCATCAAATGTGGGTTTGCTACGTGCCACTCGTGTAAGTTATGCAAGTTCATGTACCCATCTTTCTTAAATGTGGTCTCATCCGACCATAAAATTTTTTCAAAGAACTGTGGATCTTTCCTGTGTCTTTCTAACATTGTGCGACAAAAAGCAACTCGGGGCTCATAATCCCGGGGCAGGAGAAGTTGAACACACTGTATGTGATATGGATAAAGCACATCACTTACTTGCTATTGCACACTTTGATACCGATCAGTACTCCTTCATTTACTGCGCATCTTTACATGTTCGTGCTTGTTGATTTCATACTGTTACTAATTTTGAATTCGTGAACTGCACTGTTGATCGCTTGTGATTTGGATTTGGACTGTTTAATTGCTCTTCAAAACAACATTTGCTTTCCTTAGATTATCTTTGATAGTGTGATTGTGCAGTGCCGCTATGTCCGTGTACACCGTACAAGAATATGCTAACACGCACCTCATTTAAGGGGGAATGCAGATGCAACGCTAGTGCTGCAGCGAGACTTTACTGTGAGAGGACCCGAATGCAGCTCGTCATCCAGATCATCGAGTGTTCACAAATGTGCACCGCTTACTGTTCTCAGAGGTCCAACTACCAAACCAATCACAATCTTTCCTTCCTTACGAAGACGTGGTGCTAGGAGCTGTCGAAGAAGACCCGAGTACTACAGTGCGTGCAATATAACTAAAAACAGGTGTGCCCAAAAGTACAGCCCATAGAATCTTGCAAAAAAACGTGCTCTATCCATACCACGTACAGCGTGTTCAAGCCCTTCTGCCTCGGGATTATGAGCCCCGAGTTGCTTTTTGTCGCACAATGTTAGAAAGACACAGGGAAGATCCACGGTTCTTTGATAAAATTTTATGGTCAGATGAGACCACATTTAAGAAGGATGGGGTACATGAACCTGCATAACTTACACGAGTGGCACGTAGCAAACCCACATTTGATGAGAGAAGATAAATCTCAATATCGCTTCAAGATAAACCATTGGACAGGAATTTTAAATGGTAAAATAATCGGTCCGTTTGAGTTCCCAGAGACTTTGACTGCTGAGGTTTATTTAGGTTTTTTGCAAAATCATTTAGAAAATTTATTGGAGGACGTGCCACTGAGTATTTACAGGGACATGTGGTTTCAGCATGATGGCTGCCCAGCGCACTATGCACTCTCAGTGAGAAAGTATCTCGATCAAAACTTTCCAGGCAGATGTGTAGGGCGGTCTGGTACAATACCGTGGCCAGCCCGGTCACCAGATTTGAATCCGTTAGATTTTTTTTACTGGGGAACTGTAAAAGAAAAAGTGTATTTCAAGCCGATTCAAAATGTAGCTGAGCTACGGCAAAGACTATTGGAAGCAGCTGAATTTGTTAATAACCGTGGATTCGTTCGTTTAATAACCCGATCTTTTTTAAGAAGATGTCGAGCGTGTATTGCGGCTGAAGGAAAACAGTTTGAGCATTTGCTGTAAAGGTAAATCATCATCAGCAGCATTTTGATGCCCACTATTGTGTTACAGTTATCCTTAAGGGTCCTTGTGCGTTTTCATAATCGCTGTTTAATTAGGAAATTTTTAAAAATTTTCATCAGTTTTTCTTCAAATAAAAATTGTGCATAAGCTAACGAGTAATCTTCTAAGTGTTATACCATTTTGGAATCCTTATTAAATGCGCCAACTTTTCAGGTTACTTGCCAAACTCTCGTAGTACATTTTTTTCCAGTACAGCCAGTTAAAGTTGACCAAAGTTTTACTTTGGAATACTTGGTTGGGAAATAAGTGGCAATTTTTCCTGAACGAGAAAAGTTGGCAGTAAGGTTGGGACACCAGTTTGAAGATGCGTTATTCATCATTACATTGTAAAAATGAAATCCAAAAAAAGTTAATATTTGTAGTAACAGGAGTTGACAGACTGCCGTAGGGTGTGAAATTTCTATATTTTTTTCAAAGACCTATAATTTTCAAAACACCTACATAAAATTTTTTTAAATATTTTTCTGATAGCTGTTATGACTTCGCCTATCACCCGGTTTCGGCTTGACATCGACTTCTGGGGCACCCTGTATAAGTAAGAATTTGACAAACCAAATTAGGGTATATAACTATCCACCTTTTGGCAACATCGCAGAGAGTAGGATAGTAATGGTGGTGGATGGTGGAGTAGTGATGGGAATATTTATCTAAAATAAAAGTAATCACTACTTAACAATCAACATTAATATAATGCAAAATTGCATTATTGCGATGAACAGTGTCACAGTAATTTACATTGTATGTTATATTCATATAATTTTGAGCAATAGCAGTATTCTATACCACAGTACTACCACACAAAATGCAACTTTGAAGTACTATAAAATAGCAAGCAGCGAATTCCTTGAAGAAAAAATTATATTTTCGTGCAAGTTACATCATAATCTTTCATTTTAAAATAAGAAATGTAATATTTGCGATATGCGTTACAGTATAGTTCAGCCCTTTTTACTTTCACTACTTATTACCATACTCCTAAAAATGCCCGGACTACCGAAATGATATTTTTACATGTAAACTTTATTAAAACTGTTGTAAGCAATAGACTAAATATCGACACTACCAGTCCAGTCCTACTTTATTCAAAAATCATATCGCTATAGTGCTGGTAGAGAGCATCACAATTTTGTCATGTGCTATGAATTTTGTAGTTTATTGCTTATATTTTATATTATTGACTTTTAATTAATCAGAAGTGGGATTGGAACTGTTAGCTCCTCTATTGTATCTTTGTTTTGATACAGTTTAAATTAGTTTACAAGTGATTTACGTGAATACCATGTTTCCTTTTACGTACTCCACTTACCAAAAATTTTTACAAATCTGCCTAAATATATCGCACAATTCGACCTAAACTATTCTGCTCCTGGCCAACAGCAGTCTAACCACACTAGCACATAAAATATACTCAAACAACTATGCTTAAGAATTGCCTTTTTGCTTTCCTATTCACCGCATCTCATCAACTGTCTACTTCTTTGTAATCCATAACGAGCGCTGCCAGGTCCTCCTTGGCGTCTTGAAACTCTCCTTCCTCCATTCCCTCTCCAACGTAATGATGGACGAAGGATCGTTTAGAGTACAACAGGTTGTACTTCTTCAAGATCCGTTCCCAAGCTTCGCGTATGGCGGTACTGTTGGACAGCATGGTTACAGCTCGTGTGGTGCGCGCCAAGTCGCCTCCCGGTACTGTAGTTGGTGGTTGGTAGTTTATACCCACCTAAAAAGCGCAAGGTACTTTGATGAGCACCAAGTCAGAATGGTCTACTACTATTCGTCATTTCTCTGCCTGGGCGGTTCGTAGGACTTTTGCCCTTAGTCACTGTCTAATATACGTTGGTTGAATCTGGTTGCCCAGAACCAGAGAATGTCAACAGAAAAGATAGAGAAAGAGAAAATAAAACTGTATCAGTTTCAGAGGAAACACCTAGGCTTTTTGACTTGGTGCACGAATTAATTCTGAGGTGTACTAAAACAAAGTTTGCGCTAAATTTTTATTACTACGAGTCGTGGCCTTGAATGTTTACGAACTTCCTCCACTGTTTGGTCCACTAAGCTATGCAGTAGAGAACTGCTGTGCGATTCTGTTTGACTATAATCACGCTGCGCCTGGATCTTGACATAATTTTCAAATGAAAAATATACCAAAATGGATGTACTAAGCTTTCAGGATTATAGTCAAAGAGCTCTCTTCACATCCTCTTGGAAAAATATTCTGATTCGTTTTTTTCTGCGTAGTGTTGTTCGAAAAGACCAAAAATTGTCTAAAATTCCGTAAATTTGTGTTTTCCCTGCAAGCTTAGTTTTTTATTGGGTCATTCTAAATAAAACACGTCCTCGTAAGTTTTCTCTGAAGTTCATAATTTTCAAAGTATTCGAAAGAGATTTGAAAAAGCTTGAAATACGTCATCTTCGTCGCCCAAAAACCAAAATATGAACAAAAGAAAATTTTGATGTCGCCCAATGATGGGCCCATTTTGTACCTCGTGTAGAATACCCCACTGTACTTCCATATACAATTGTGATTGTGTACGTCTTTATATTTATGTCGACAATATACTCCCATACAATTTCATATACAGGGTGGCGCATCGAAAACGGAACAGACGCATTTACTGGCAGCTCAGTTTTTTTTTTGAAAAACGCTAAAAAGTACGAGATATTTTCTTATCTTTCTTCAAGAAATAACTTTTTTGCCACAAAAAAACGCTCCAATAGCTATTTTCAACAACAAAATGATAAACAAACCATGGGCGTAGTGAAGAAAAGCATTTACTTATTAAGTAAATTCATTTAGTCGAATTTCTTTTGAAAGTAGCACAAACTAATCTGATGTAGCTATTAAAGTCTACTTTAAGCTTTAAATCAATAAATCTTCACATACTACTGAACTGAAGTACATTAATTTTATATCATTATAAGGGAATTGAAAGACCTTTAAAATAAGGTATCACTCGACCCCCCTTTCCGTTTAAGATTTTAGGGTTGGTGTCACCCCCGCCCAGGGGGCTGCACGTGCTAACGTGTTTTTTTGCCACATTTGTGTCCCCCTCGAAAACAAAATCGACGGGTCTGAGCGTTTTTCCAAAAAAAAACTGAGCTACCAGTAAATGCGTCTGTCTCGTTTTCGATGCGCCACCCTGTATATGCAATGCCTATAAAAGTGAATAATTAGAAAATGTATGCATATAGATATTTATTATTTAGGCATATATACAAAGTTGTAGTTTTAAATGAATTAGGAATGAAGGTCAAAGCCATTGTCAAGATTCTTCCAAATGAGAAGCTGACTTCAAAGCCAAATCGGATAGTAGCAGCATGACTAAATCTAGATCATTTTACCTTAAAACCTGTTGGACACCAATCAACAAATCCAATACTTCTTTTGCTCTTGATACTTGTGATAGCATTGTTCACATCAGTGGGAGCGACATCACCACGGTACAAGAGACAGCAGGACATATATTTACCTAAAATTATTTTACAAATTATGAAATAACAACTATCAATTCTTCTGATGTGATGCATAGACGTTTCTTGAGGCCTTGATAGTGTTGCTTCGTGAATTGGGCATAATAGAAGAACTGTCAGATATCGAAGAAGGTGGCTTTTTGGTGAATTCCTGAACATCTGCGTATAACAAGGATAATATTTACAATATGGATTAGAAAAATTGGAACAATATCCACATAGTAGAGTAATTTTTGTATTGTAGATTAGTAATGTGAATAGAAAAATATCTTCAATTACATCATGTTTGTGTCTGTATTCAATAGCCACTCATGTAACTCTATTTTTTAATAAACGTATTTTTTCCTGAATACGTTGATATGTTATGATATAGTTTTAGATCTATACTAAGTGATATATAAATCCGAACACCCAGTTTAAATGGTTTTATTTTAATAAAATTTTGTATAAGTACTTAATGAAGCATAATAAGTAAATGATAAAAATTTCTAAATGATTGCACTGCTTTAAAGCCCTTTGACCTTTAATAATGTGTGGATGCACTCTGATGTGCTACGCATTCTCCAACGCGCCTAGGCATGCTTCTGATCAGGTCGTCAATGTCCTCCTGTGGTATCTCATTCCAGGCAACCACCAACTCCTCTCGAAGTGCTTCTAGAGTCTGAGGAGGACGTTGCAAATTGAGCAATCTCCTACCCATCATATCCCACACGTGCTCAATTGGGGATAAGTCGGGAGATCTTGGTGGCCATGGTAACAATGTGACATCATTATGTTGAAAGAAGTCCATTGTGACTCTTGCAACATGTATCTTGTTGAAAAGTTGGATCTGCCAGGGTGTCAAGATAGGGTAAAAGATGGGGTTCTAGAACTTCGTGGATATAACGCTGCGCGTTCATGTTACCTCTGATGAAGATTAAAGGTGACCTGGAACCATAAGCTATAGCACCCCAAACCATAACTCCAACAGTGTGATGAACATGTCTTTCAACAAAAAGCTGTGAATTCCTCCTTTCACCACGTCGCCTTCTAACCCTGGCACGACCATCGTGCATGCATAAACAAAATCGAGACTCGTCACTAAAGACGATACTGTTCCATTCCTGATCCCAGAGTGACCGTTGTCTGCACCACTCAAGGCGATTACGTCGGTGTTCTCGAGTTAAAGGGAGGACCCAGTGTGGCCGGTATGAAAACAAGCCAAAACTTCTCATTCGTCGGTAAACACTTCGCATGCCAATAGGTCTTCCGTGTTCTGCAAACCATTCATTTGCAATGGACCTGGTAGTGGAGAAACGGTCCCTTAAGGCCAATAATCTTACGCGGCGATCTTCACGGTCTGTTGTTCTACGGCGGCGTCCAGTGCCACATGCTCTTTGCGTACGGCCTTCCACCTAACCACAGTGTCTACACTTCTTTGCACCCTAACTGCAATTGCCCGAAAAGAAAGTCCAGCTTCCCGAAGTCCCACTATACGGCCCCTATCAAACTCACTAAGTTGACGAAATCGTACAGGTCTCCGTACTCTAGGCATCGTAACCGATCGTAAAGGATGCCAGGAACCAAAATCCGCCAACGTTGATTCTTTACTGCGGCTGAAATATTCATTTTTAGAGCGTTAGTGAATTAAAAAAAAGCAGTATAAAAACCGGAATGTCCAACTGATATGGCTGAAAAATTTTTCACTTGTTATTTACAGTAAGATAAATACATTCACCAACTTTTATTAAAATAAAACCATTTAAACTGGGTGTTCGGATTTATATGTCACTTAGTATATGTGCATAGATGATTTCAACATTATTTCCATTTTTGGTATTGCAATAATGATTTGTTTATTTTTATTTCTAGTATCATGTTCATATCTTTTGTAAATAGCTAGATGCTTGTTCTTACGAAATTTTTATATAATGTTACACTAAAATCATTTTCTTATATTCAAAAGTTTTGATTTTATAAACAGTGGTTTGAAGAGATAGGGTTTCCATGAATGATTTTTGTATTATGTTTGAAGAATTTAGATTGTCGTCATTCGTCAGTCCCCAGATAGTAATTCCATGGGTTTTGTGAAATTCAAATAGTCTTGTTTAATTGAACTTTCTTTATAATTTGACGTATGATGCACATTGCGTTTTTTAAAGACGCTCTTGTGTATTCTGTGTAATGCAAAGCAACAAGGAGGCCTCAGGCTAAACATGGCAGTCTTTCTTGAGAGACGTGATTTAAAACTAGTCATTTCTCATATTTGTTTATTTGTTGTAGATTTATTTAGCATTATTGCTGCAAAATTAATGTTATACAATACATCACATAATATTTTAACTTCAAGTCTACATATTTTTATACAAAATCTCAATTTCCTTTTGAACTGGCACACATCTTGATATCATTACTTAATTTATTCAAATCGTACAATCCTTTTTGAAATACTTGTATTTGTACAATTTTGTTAATGAAGGTCTATACTTAGTTCCTCTAGTAGAATTACTACGGTACTATTGTGCAATTCAATAACATTTTCTAAATGATTTGGTAGAAGATGATTTTCTAATTTGAAGATAAAAATGGAAATCAAGTAGGTTATTAAATTTTTGATCTCCAACCATTGAAGTTTTGTCAGCATAGAATTTGTTCCAGCATATTTATTTTTATTGAGATAATTTTCATAGCTTTATTTTGTAGCATTTGAAATTTTGAAAATACAGCTTCGCTTGCAGTGAACAAAGTAGTCGATCAATATAATAAATGGAGAAGAAAGACAGTGTTGTACACAATTTTTCAGAATAATATGCGAAGATCTATAAAAGTGATTTACCTTTTTAGATATTTTTGAAATACTTTATTCATAGTGCTCTTCAAATTTCAATGTACCTTCTACATATAAGTCCAAATATTTGAATGATTCAATTAACTCCATTTTTTCATTAATAATCTCAAGACTGTTTAAACAGGTACGATGATGGGATCCAACGAGTTTTGTACAGCATCTACCTACCTTTTCTTGGATCGCACTTGACCATCTGATTAGCTGGTTCGAAACACGCATTGGTCAGCTGTGCAACTGATAACGATTCGTGGAATGCTTTACTTGCGGGGATAAACGGTGCGTACGTGATAAGTGGAAAGTGAATTCTTGGGTATGGCACCAAATTCGTTTGGAACTCTGTCAAGTCGACGTTCACTTGTCCTTCGAATCTTAAGGATGCTGTTACAGCTGACACCACCTGAATTAAATGACTGAATCAGAATGGGTTTCTTTTTGTGGGGCGCTTTCAAACAACTACTGAATGCTGAACAAATTAATATTTGTGATCAGTTACAAGAAAGAATAGATAATGCGTTTCCTTTATAAAAAAGATGCCGCACTTGTATCAGTCAAAATGGTGGACTTCTTTTTGACCTTTTATTGAAATAAAGCTTTGATTATCTAATTTGTTTTTTTTTCATTTTGCGAAAAAAAAGCACTAATTGAAAAATAAGACCCCGACCTGAGAATCCCCGTGTATATTACTACGAAACATGCCTGATCTGTACGCTCTGTAAAGGACAGTCCCAGCTTTGAGGACACACTGTATATCAAAAATATGTTTTAATGGATATGAATGCCCCTTGGATGTACATTAGGTTCATTCTCTTCCATGGCGTTATCTATAACTTTCAGCAAGATTTAGGGTATTTTCACCGCGACTTGATTACGAATATTATCTTTTAAACCGACAAATTTATTATAATTATCGCTCAAATGGAAAATTTATAAAGAATTTGAGCTATAACGTTAATCTAGTGCCAAACTGTACTTACACAAGTATTTTCAAAACTTTTATCGCTAAAACAAGCGACTTGAAAGTAGCTGATTTTACCTGGCCCAGAAGTCTGTTCAAATTAGTATAAGTTGGCCTGGGCGTGTCCAAATTCCTGAGCAATATATCGTAAACGGCTTCGTTATCCATAACAAAGCAAACGTCTTCGTTTTCGATGCTTGAATTGGTGGTAAGTACGGCGTTGTAAGGTTCAACGATAATCGTTGAAACTCTGGGCGCTGGGAAAACGGCAAACTCCATCACGCTGCGCTTCCGGTAATCTCCTGCCAGGTGTTCCAGGAAAAGAGCAGCGAAACCACCGCCTGTGCCTCCACCAAAAGCGCGAAATAAGATGAAACCCTAGAAAAATCCATTCAGGATGAAATGATTCTATCCGTCTCTGAAAGTATGACCAACTACGTGCAGCATTGTTCGATCCGATTTAGCCATCCTCAGTACGGTATATGTCTAGTCATGTGGACACAAACAAACGAAAGGCTACTGATAGAATGTTGTCTGCAAAGAGATGACAATTGCCATCTAAAAATAATTTTCGAAAACGTGATGCAGGCGTAGGGGTCTTCTGTCATTTTCAGCATAAGACAACTTTGTGTGCGGTTAATTATTATTATAACGATGAGAAGAAAACAGACTCATTTCAGCGTGGGTCTATTTTTGCGGTTTTTAAAAATATTTTCCCTTGATTGGATACGGAACAAATAAACTAAGGCTTTATGGGGAATATACTAAGTGACATATAAATCCGAACACCCAGTTTAAATGGTTTTATTTTAATAAAAGTTGGTGAATGTATTTATCTTACTGTAAATAACAAGTGAAAAAATTTTCAGCCTTATCAGTTGGACATTCCGGTTTTTATACTGCTTTTTTTTAATTCACTAACGCTCTAAAAATGAATATTTCAGCCGCAGTAAAGAATCAACGTTGGATCGGTTACGATGCCTAGAGTACGGAGACCTGTACGATTTCGTCAACTTAGTGAGTTTGATAGGGGCCGTATAGTGGGACTTCGGGAAGCTGGACTTTCTTTTCGGGCAATTGCAGTTAGAGTGCAAAGAAGTGTAGACACTGTGGTTAGGTGTTGTCAGGCATGGCTTCGAGAAGGCCGTACGCAAAGAGCAAGGGGCACTGGACGCCGCCGTAGAACAACAGACCGTGAAGATCGCCGCCTAAGATTATTGGCCTTAAGGGACCGTTTCTCCACTACCAGGTCCATTGCAAATGAATGGTTTACAGAACACGGAAGACCTATTGGCATGCGAAGTGTTTACTGACGAATGAGAAGTTTTGGCTTGTTTTCATACCGGCCACACTGGGTCCTCCCTTTAACTCGAGAATACCGACGTAATCGCCTTGAGTGGTGCAGACAACGGTCACTCTGGGATCAGGAATGGAACAGTATTGTCTTTAGTGACGAGTCTCGATTTTGTTTAGGCATGCACGATGGTCGTGCCAGGGTTAGAAGGCGACGTGGTGAAAGGAGGAATCCACAGTTTTTTGTTGAAAGACATGTTCATCACACTGTTGGAGTTATGGTTTGGGGTGCTATAGCTTATGGTTCCAGGTCACATTTAATCTTCGTCAGAGGTAACATGAACGCGCAGCGTTATATCCACGAAGTTCTAGAACCCCATCTTTTACCCTATCTTGACACCCTGGCAGATCCAACTTTCCAACAAGATAATGACCGACCACATGTTGCAAGAGTCACAATAGAATTCTTTCAACATAATGATGTCACATTGTTACGATGGCCACCAAGATCTCCCGACTTATCCCCAATTGAGCACGTGTGGGATATGATGGGTAGGAGATTGCTCAATTTGCAACGTCCTCCTCAGACTCTAGAAGCACTTCGAGAGGAGTTGGTGGTTGCCTGGAATGAGATACCACAGGAGGACATTGACCACCTGATCAGAAGCATGCCTAGGCGCGTTGGAGAATGCGTAGCACATCAGGGTGCATCCACACATTATTAAAGGTCAAAGGGCTTTAAAGCAGTGCAATCATTTTGAAATTTTTATCATTTACTTATTATGCTTCATTAAGTACTTATACAAAATTTTATTAAAATAAAACCATTTAAACTGGGTGTTCGGATTTATATGTCACTTAGTATACATAAAAATTTGTGTAAGACTCGGAAGTATTCTCTCATATAAAAGATGTATTCAGACAGGAGCTTTTGTGAAATATAAGTATTTTTGTTATCATACTCCATCCCGATAGAGACTTTTTTGGATCAGATTAAAAGCTAGAATGAATGGATATATTCCACAAAAAATATACTTTTGTGCATAGTTTTGTAGAGATTTAATTTTATCAAAAAGTTTCCTAGTTCGACTGGACTATGGAATTTTGTGGTTCGGAAAATAGACAGCACAGCTCGACTCTGATTGGTCATTTTAAACTATTGTTGATAAAACCTAAGAACATCGAGAACATTCACAAAAATGGTGCATGTGCCACAAACTCTTAGGTGTTGTATTTTTAAAAATATGGCGAATGCGCTGTGAACAAGTGTGCAATAAATATAGTCAAACGAAATCGCACAGCAAATATCTAATAGACGAGCTGCCCAGCGGTGTCTCCGAGAAAGCCAAAGAGTGAGTTCCTGAGAAAACTGAAGTTAGTACCAGCGAAAGCCAAGAGTTAGTATCAGACGTCGGGAAGGCCCTCCTGTTCTACTTGGACTCTCCGAGTGCCAATATCAAGTAAGAATTTCTATTCTCTCACTGGGAATTCTACCAGAAACTGTCCCGAACCATTGATTTGGAATCGAAGACAAGATGACCAGCCCCTGGATGAAGCAACAATTGATGTTACTGTCCTTGTAAGTAGTTAAGAATTACTATTAAGAAGATTTTGCAACTAAGAAGATTTAATACGTAACCATAAGAAGAATTTATCAAAAAACTCATTTCTACAGAGACTTTTTTTTGAAGAATCCAAGTTTGCGTTTTTCAATTGAAATCTAATTTTGTGCATAGCTTTAAGTTTTGTTTTCACCTATTCACTCATTTTTATCCTGCATCTTTTATACATTTTATTTTATGCCTTTTGTTAATCGTTTTGTGCCTACCGAAAGAGAAAGATCTGCTATAAGAATGGCTACTTCAAATCAACAGTATGTCGTTCAGCATGACAATCCTCAATTAATTCTTAACATGCTAAAAGATTCAATTCCTATATTTGATGGCTATTCAAACAATCTTTCTACATTTTTAAGAAAGTCTACAGTATTTTATAACGCTTTACCTATTTCCTATAATGGACATGCTTTAACATTTATTAAGTCTAGATTACAAGGTGAACCTGCCGAATTTACAGAACAAACTAATCCTATTACTATTGAACATCTTTCTGCTATTTTAACCACTAGATTTAAAGATTACCAAACTGAAGAAAATTTGACTCGTCAACTTTTTGATATTCATTCCCCAGACGTTTTACATTCAGAAATTTGTAACAAACTTCATGAATTACGAGAATTTGCTCGATTAAATTATCCTCCAGAAATTGCCCCAGCAATGATTGCTAGATATGAACAGATGGCTTTAACCTCCTTTTTATGCGGAATCAATTCCAAATATCATTGCGTTGCATTACAACCACCCCCTAAAAATATAGATGAAGGTAAGAGACGGTGCCAAGAACACGGCAACCTTTTGCAAACCAAACAATATAAAGAGTTTCTCGTCACTAAGTCTAAGCCTCGGAACATTATTTGCAACCCATACAACTGATACGTTTAGGTAATGCAAGAAATATTCATCACTATCACAAAGTCTATTTCTCCATTAACCTCACTGATATTTCACATACCATGCAAATGTTTTCTTACCTAATTGAATTACATAATAAAATTCCCACCAGCTAGATAATCAGTTTCAAAATTTATACGAAGATACTTATTCCAAGTTCGAAACTTTAACACACCATAAAATCAAACGCGGACTTATAAACGGTTTAGGTTCTATAATTCGTTTTATTTCTGGCAACCTTGATCGAAACGACTTAGATCTTATTTTGAAAAATCAGAACGCTTTACGAAATAACCAGAATAGCTTGCTTGAAAGTCATCAGAAAACTATCACGTTTTGCAAATGTCTTCAAGAAACTTTTGAAAATAATACAAGAATTCAGTCAATTATTATTCATAATGTCCAAACTATTGAACATCAGTCTTTGTTATCACACCAGACGATCCATCAGATCTCAATTATTACAAATTTGCAACGATTTAATTCATATCTAAATTCACTTTTATTAGTTCTACAATTGAACCAGCAAACAGGTCTCATCACCTTACAATTATTTCATCATCAGATTACCTTACTTATTGAACATTTAAAATCCATTTATAAAGACGAAAAATTATTGCCATTCGACAAAATACATTTATTTGAGATTTATGATCTTTCCCTTTTATCACTTATACTTTTAGAAAACCAACTTATTTTTGTAGTTGAGTTTCCCATTTTAGATGTTAGAACTTATTCCTTGTTCAAGTTATTTTCAATCACAGTCAAAAAAGAATTAGTTTAATTACCAAGTGATTATATTTTATACTTTGAAAAGTATTATTATTGCAAAAATATTATAGAGTTAAGCAATCAGCTGTATGTTTGCACGAATACTTTCCAGTCGCCATGTCAACCACTTAAGTTAGACACTTGTGAGTCTGAAAGTCCAGTAAACTACACGCGAATCCTAGAATTAAGTAAGAACAATTATGTAATCGACACTGATGTTTTAACAAAAATCAAGGATTGTAAAGGAATCCATGATATTCATTTTACTACTCACATAATTTTAGAATGACATACATTTATTAATGATCAAATATTAGAATTTGACTCTAATTATGATATTGAATTAGAATTATTCTTCAGAGGTGACAACGATAAATATTCATTTAAGAAAACAAACACTTCACTCGAATCTTATTTCGAAAAAAATCTCACTTCGCTTCAAGTTCATTTTGAAGATTTATAGTTTCATTCTACTATAAGTTATCCTGTTATTTTTACTACTGTGATTATTTTATTGGTTTTATTTATAACAATTTTTGTTAGATACCGTTATGTAAAGGATACTAAAACTACACCTCAAAGTAGTGGTATTTAAGAAACTTCTCCTTCAAATTAAAAGTTCAAATCATTTTTTGAGATTGGAGACCAATCTTTCCGAGGAGGGAGGAGTTATGGAATCCTGATGATTACCATTTCAACGCTACGGCTAACACCGTCCCGATGCCCTTATGATTAGCGCCGTCCATCCGGTTTCTAGTTACAGCGTTAGGTGTTATCTTTGTGAGAACATTCCTGACTTTGCATTTTGCTATACTTTACTTCTTATAAACTGAATATGAAATGTAACTAGCGTTGTTGTCATCTTGTTTTCATCCAATAAAGTTCCTGCTATAGTTTCGAACCGAAACTACACTGAGTTTCATTTCTTGGACTGGTCGTCGATGAAATAAAACAAGTTGTTTGTAAGGTATTAGCAATTTTGTTTTAATTGGAAGACACTCGTATGGCAATTTGTATTTTGGAATCAAGACCAATTTTCAAAGACTCTCCAGTAAAAATCCGAATGAATTTGAGCGATGACTTGGATTGTGTTAACATCAAAGAATCTCTGGGACTATCCAAAAACGTTTCTTGCATGTAAGTCTAGCTTCTGCAATCCTTCACACATGCTTACCTCCATATTGTTGCACTCCTCAGCAACTTTCCTCACCCTATCCAGCGCCAACTCCAACATTTCCCTACCGATCCCATACTTCCCTCTAGCGTAGTTGTTAGCGGCATCTTCTTTCCCAGTGAGCAGCCCATCCGGATGGAACAGGTGCCTATAGTACCCGGTACGAATCTCATCGATCACAGTGGGTTCCAGATCGATCATCACTACCCTGGGCACTGCCCTTCCGCCAGCGGTAATGCCGAAAAACGGGCTGTACGAGTCGTCGGAACGGTCCCATTCATAAAGGGTACCATCCACCTGTGAAAAGAGCTTTCAGGTAGTGATGTGTAAATCGTGAACGGAATAGTTCAATCTAGCGATTCTTATGACTAAGCTAATTGAACTAGTTCATCATTCCTCGAAAAACTTGTTCACTGGTTCACCATGAAAGGTTGTTAATACAGGATCCCGATGATACAAGCGAACTAGTTGTGAATAAACGAACCAGAACGAGATAGGCAACCAAGTTTTAAAGGCTAAGCCGGAAGTGCTGCCCACTGTCCACTGATTGTTGGAAGTCGTGTATTAATTTTGTTAGAGAAGGGCATAAAACGGTTTTAGCATTTATAAGGTTTTCAAGTTATGTTTGAAAATACATCAACGGGATTAAAATCAAATCCTAGAGAAATGTATGTCCTACAGAATCGTTTTTTATTTGTTCTAATGTCATGCTTAGTTATTTAACTACAGATGCTACAATAATGTATAATTTTGAGAACGACATATTCTTTCAACCGAAACTTTTTTCAAAAAAGAAACGCGAATAGTGATTCCGTTAGATTGAACACTTCACTTTCATATACCCAAATTTCTTTTTTGTATCTCAAAAGATGAATCAATTATGCGAGGACTACGGATGCATGTCTTAAATAGCAATATATGAGGGACTGGGGAGTATTAACAATGTTCTTTTGACAAAAATTTGCTGAAAATTATAGTCGTAGGATTATCACCTGTATAAACATCTGAGTTATGTTTCAGGAAAGGTTACGGATGATATCGATTCACTGATCAACAGCCAAAAAATATCCTAAATAAAATCAACAAAATATTACTATTTCTAATGTGCTAAAACCGGAATGAAACTTATTTTTTCAATATTAGTTCAAGTCTTAGAGATACGGTAATTATATGTGTTCCTGCTGTGACAGTGTTAATATACTGTAATTCACAAGAATGCACGTGCTACATTTTTATATTCGGCAAGGAAAGATGATGTAATCGGCATGACTGTGTTACGTTATACATACGTGTACATTATATTGTTTTATATTAGCCATTTTTTCCTCAGTTGGCTGACAGCGTTCATGCAAGATGTCTCGAAAGTGTGTAAACAATCCAGATCAGTTTTGTTACGTGTGTGGTGATGTGACTTTTGCGTCTCAGAGACGGTCTATTACTTCACTAATAACAAAGGCATATCAGCTTTATTTCGGTTGTAAACTAGGTGATCAAGACAAACAGTGGGCACCCCACATCTGCTGTAATACATGTGCTTCAAGTCTGAAGAGCTGGTTAAATGGCAAAAAACGGTCTATGCGCTTTGCTGTCCCAATGGTTTGGAGAGAGCCTACAAATCATATTAATGATTGTTACTTTTGCATGGTACCTTGTGTTGGACAAGCCACAGGTATGTCCAAGAAAAAAAAATCGGTTATTAACTACCCAAACATACCATCTGCGATGAGACCTGTGCCTCACAGTGACGAAGATCCTATTCCAAAACCCCCAGAATCCTACACTTGCGAATCAGAAAACGAATCAGATCATGGTGATCGAGTGATTCGTCAGGAAGAAGATATGCCATCAACGTCAAGAGATCCTCATTTTATACCGAGCACGTCATGCCACCAACCGCACAAAATAACACAGTCAGAATTAAATGATCTTGTAAGAGATTTAGAACTTCCAAAATGTAAGGCAGAGTTACTTGGATCAAGACTGCAGCAGTGGAACCTGTTAGAAGACGATGTTTCGGTATGTGTTTTTCGTAAACGCCACAAAGACTTAGAACCATTTTTCAATAAGGAGAATAACTTGGTTTTCTGCAGTAACATTAACGACTTACTGGCGGCTTTGAATATAAACTATAACCCAGAAGAATGGAGATTATTTATAGACAATTCAACATTGAGTTTAAAGGCAGTGTTATTGCATATTGGAAATATTTTACCATCTCTTCCTGTAGGGTATGCAGTTCACATGAAAGAATCATATGACAATATGTAGTACCTATTGACATGCATAAAATACGATGAGCACCAATGGCATATTTGTGGCGATTTGAAAGTTGTTGCACTTTTACTTGGGCTGCAGCTAGGCTACACAAAGTTTTGCTGTTTTTTGTGTGAATGGGACAGTCGGGCAAAGGCACTTCATTACACCAGACAAAACTGGCCTGTTCGTCAATTCCTAGAGCCAGGTCAAAAAAATGTACAGCATATGCCATTAGTAGATTCGAAAAAAAATTTATTACCACCACTGCATATCAAGTTGGGCCTAATGAAAAACTTTGTCAAGGCATTAGATAGAGATGGGTCAGCTTTTCAATACCTGCGTCAGAAATTTCCAAGACTAAGTGAGGCAAAGGTTAAAGAAGGTATTTTTGTTGGGCCACAGATTCGAAATATTTTGAAAGTTACACAGTTTGAAAACACTTTAACAGGTATTGAAAAAACTGCTTGGAATGATTTCCGTCTGGTGGTCACTAATTTCTTGGGAAATAGAAAAGCTGACAACTATAAAACCCTTGTCAAAAATATGCTGTCATCGTATCAAAAGATGGGCTGTAATATGTCTCTTAAGATACATTTCCTACACTAACCCCTGGACTTTTTTCCTGACAATTGCGGAGCCGTAAGTGAACGGCGAACGTTTTCATCAGGATATTTCAACAATGGAAAAAAGGTACCAGGGAAAGTGGAATCCTTCCATGCTTGCAGACTACTGTTGGACTCTTGGTAGAGATGCTCCAGAAACGATCCATAAAAGAACAGCAAAAAGACAGCGCATATAGTGATTCTTATAAGTATATGAATCTTGTTACTTTTTTTAATATATCCTTAAAAATAAAAAGTTTTTTTTCTAAACCGCAACTAATTTTTTTATTTCATTGTCATTTTTGGATTCAGCGCCCCAAAATTGACAAAGAAGTGCACTTTTCCCACAAGATACAATTAAAAAACTAAAATTTGTTGCCAAGTGAATTATTTTTGCTTTTGAACATATGGATGATTCTTAAAATCTCAGAAAGTGTTGGTCAAGACTTGAAGTTTGCGGTAAGGTTTAAACGTTGCAGCCTTTTTCAAGGCATCATCTAGAAAAAGAAAATGAGGCATTTCAAAACGTGAGTACCTACTTTAATCCCATGTTCGAGGCAGTACAACTCCCAACAGGCATTTGCAATCTGTACTCCAGCTTGGCCAATGTGAATCTGAACGATTTCCCTTTTAGGCATGATATGAGCTTTATCTGTTCGATATCATGGTAGTTTTTATACTGAGAATTTAGTACGATTTCTTAGGTCGAAATGGATGGATGATGATTAATTTTGACTGAAATTTTGACAAATGGACATGGTTTTTTGGTTAGCACCTGGTGACAGTGCCACATTGTAAATTTCGCAGACAGTAATCCTAATTTCCTAGTTTCTGCTGCGACTTTTTGAAACATTTGCAGAAGTGTAGTTGACGCGTATTTGACGTTGCCTGTGACATTAACAGGATATTTCGAAACTTCAATCGCAAATAAATAATCGTTCCTGGGAGTCACTCCGAAAAATAAACATCCCAACTAGAAAATCACCAAGATGAGCGAACCATGTCCAGGAGTTTGCCGTACCGGAGGTACGCCAATAATTCGTGTAATAGCAAGACCCGAAAATAAATTCCTGGATACTCCAGCCAATACAGAGGAGCTGGCCACATTTGTAGATCAGAAAGACATAATACCAGTCGTAGGTGAGAACTGTTCTTATCACAATCACAAAGCAGTGCTGCACCTTTCTGCCTATACAAAGCGTCCAGGAATTAAAGAGTTAAGCATCCCACAAACCGGCGCGAAATAATCGCGGCGAAGTATTCGCAACGAAATTCAGAGCGAATTTCGCAATCTGTTTCGCCTGTTTATTCATACCAAAGCGTCTTATTCGCTCCGCGAACGTAAAGGTTTCGACAGGTTGCGTACATTTTATTTTTGCCTTTTGCAATGAGCTCATCTTCAGAAGAAGAGGAGGCACTTCTATTTCTTGCTTTAGAAGAGGAACAAAATGCACGGTAAGTTATGTTTATTTAACGCCATTTGATAGTTGGGTATGTATTAAGTTTAACGAAGTACATAAAACAAATATTTCCAATTTTTTTTAGGAAACGAAGGAAGTGGGTACATGATATTAACTTGGAACGAAATAAATTTGGGGAATACCATACCTTGATGCCACAACTTCGGCTGAATGAACAGCGCTTTTACGTATATTTTAGAATGACTCCAGAGTGTTTCGATGAAATATTGAACTTGGTGAAAGATGAAATACGAAAATCTGACACAAATTATCGTGAAGCTATTTCGCCAGAAGAACGACTTGCTATTACACTCAGGCAAAAAAAATTATATGTATTAAAATTAGTAGGCTTATCGAATACGAAAACTTCAGGGATCGTGAAATAAATATTTTATTGTAATAATTGGACTACATGTTGCCACTAGGATTAAATGTTGCTAAATAATTCGAGTCAGAATTTGCCTCCTCTGTTGGGTATATTATTGGAGTAAACCCAGTGCCGCTTGGGAAGGACGACATACTACTATCATACATACTTGCAGAATTCTGGGTAGACGCTGAAGACATTTCTTCAATATGTTCAAATTCTTCGTGCGCTATTAATTCGGCTATTTTTAGTTTTATTCGGGCTTGACGCTTTAAGGGAAGTGTTTTCACAGTCTGTGCATGTGCCAAGAAAAGTGAATCAATGGCCTCGTTCTCTTTTTTAGGTTTTTTACCTTCAAAATAATTAATGAGCTGTTGTACAGACGAATATGGTGGTTCATAGCGTTTTCTGCTCGTTTCATATTTTGGTGTAGTTGCAGTCTGCGGAAAGGTGTGCCCTGGAGTAGTCACTGCTGTAGTGTTCAATGAAGAAGGTGGTGCTGTCTGTGTTGCCGAGGCGTTCTGTGCATCTTCTGCATCTACATCAGCATTTTCAGCTTCTCCATGGCCGCGGTCTTCCAAATTTTCGGTTTCTACATTTCCAGCCCTTTCCTGATATATATTTGAGTTAAATTCGGCAGTCTCATAATGTATGACGTCAATATCTTTCACATTAGACGACGTTTTGGCAAATGCCAAAAAAAGGACGGAAAAATTCTATGTAGTCAGCCCACTGCCATTTTTTATGTTGCCCACTGCTTGGCCGGTCTTTGGTTTGGTAGATTTTATATATTTTGCAAATGTGTCTCTGATATTCTTCCACCTTTTTTTTACTTCATCACCTAAAAACGATTTTTTTTATAGATTCCTTGCCACTGGTGACACCTTCTATACCATTGGGCATAGCTTTCGAGTTGGCTTTACAACAGTGAGTGCAATCGTAACCGAAGTCTGTGAAGCGATATGCAGACATATGGAGCATATATATTTACCAGAACCAACAGAGAATATATGGAAAAAATGTGCTGAAGAATTTGAAAATAGATGGGGATTTCCCAATTGCATTGGCAGCGTGGACGGTAAACATGTAACAATCAAGAGACCTAACAACAGTGGCTCCAATTACTGGTGCTATTTACATAAATATTCAATAGTACTTATGGCCATTGTTGGCCCGGACCATAAATTTATATGTGTTGATATTGGTGGTTTCGGAAAAAATAGTGATGGGGGTATTTTCGAAACCTCAAACATGGGAAAACGATTTGAACAAAATTTAATGAGTGTCCCTGCACCTAGATTTCTCCCTGGGCAAAATGAAATCTGCTCGTACGTCTTAATTGGTGATGAAGCATTTGCTTTAAAACCATACCTTATGAGACCATTTCCTTATAAGCAGACTTCAACAGACGTCAGAAAAGAGAAATACAATGTAAGACTTTGTCGAGCTAGAAGGGTCGTGGAAAATGCGTTTGGTATTTTGTCTCAAAAATGACCAATATTTTACAGGCCATTAGAAACTAAAGTAGATACTACTATTCTAATTGTATGTACGGCATGTGTTTTACACAATTTTTTACGAAGTAAAAGTGGCGATGACAAATGTTTTCAATTCTTAGATCCCCCAGAACCCGTGCTTGGAGCTTTTACTGATATAGCAAATGATCCTCGGCGGGCAGCAATGCTAGCATTTTCTACTCGTGACAAATTTGTAAATTATTTTAATTCTGATATGCCTATGCCCAATATATAGAATGTTCGTTTTCACATTTGTGTAGATTGTAAATTATTTAACAAGTTAATAAAAAATATTAGCTACATACCATTTGTATTTAATTCTTTTCCTATTTCCATCCAAATCTTGTCTTTCTTTCTCACATTCCTGTATTCATCGTTCGACAAATCATACAAACAAGGATACTTTTTCACTATTTCTATCAATAATTCCGTTTTTGCCATTGCGAATTTTTGAAGAACGACGTCAAAAACGCGGTCAAAGGCGAACTGAAATACGCCGCGATAAAAACGCTGGAACAATCGCATTCGCTTCGCACAAGTCTGAGCCTGTCCGTAAACCACCGCGTTTTAATCTGATCGCGAATTCATCGCCGCGAAATTTTCGTAGCCAAAGCGAATATTTCGCGCCGGTTTGTGGGATGCTTAACCCTGGCAAAATTTTGCTTAGTCAAATGTCTCATGGTTATCAAGATATACAAAAATCAATTTTATTTAGCACGCTTCTAGTTAACTTGTCGCCATTTCTACAAATATCAACTTTTCAGGCAGGTTTGTTTCGAAATATTCAAAATTGATTGTTTTCATCGAAACCGTATTGCTTTAAATCCACAGATTCAAGTACACGGTTTTAGGAATCCGAGTTAAATTAAACTAATTGAACTTGTTAGCTGTCATATGGTTAATTAATTTTTCTAATTGGCCTAGTTGAAATTTTAATAGATTAATTTTACCTTGGCAAAGCGGTGCAGCTGGACATTATTTACACCAAGATTAAATTGCACTTGAATTATAGGTGGCGTTTTCATCGACTATGAACTGGGCCCGATATTCATCATGGCCTCTTCTGCCACGAAACAAGCTCTTTGCTCAGGCCCTTGTGCAACAGCTGGTGGAGGCCCAGCTCCCTTATCACGTGTCGTCGAACTCCCAGAAAACAAATTTTTGGACACCGTTGCAGACGTCGATGGTTTGAAAGCGATGGTCCGTGCTCAAAAGGATATTATTCCAGTTGTTGGGGGGATTTTCATCGATTACGAACTTGGGCCTATTTATATCATGGCGTCGTCGACTATGAAGCCTTGCGGAGGAACATGTGCTCCGAAGTAGTTTTACCTGATGTTTTGTATAGTTTTGCTATATGAGCAGCTTTTCAGCCGGATATAGCATGACAAAAATTAAAATAAGTTCGGTTCTGCTAAAAGTCGTTCCCTTTTCCATGTATCCCTGGAGATACTGGAAGCGACAAAACTTTCTCAAATGCATCTTCTAAAATATGTATATATATATATATATATAGATGAAAAATTAAAGCTTCCGCCTTTTGTTGGGCACTTCGACAAAATTTAAGCAAAGAGGACTTTATACTTTTTGCTTAAATTTTGTCGAAGTACCCAACAAAAGGCGGAAGCTTTAATTTTTTACCTAACTGGTCTAGACGACAATGATCACGTCTCAAGCTATATATTATAGTTATCTTACCGTTTCGGGGATCACAATGGTGAAAAGTATGACAAATTTATTTTTCAGATCACCCTAGAACAAACCACGTACATATTGTTTAGGTTTTATGCATATATGTATTTTATTTAAGACTTTCTTTTATTTTTATTAACTTGTATAATTGAGTATATTCTATTACACTGGACAACAAATTTTAGTTTTTTAATTGTATCTTGTGGGAAAAGTGCACTTCTTTGTTAATTTTGGGGCGCTGAATCCAAAAATGACAATGAAATAAAAAAATTAGTTAGCGGTTTAGAAAAAAAACTTTTTATTTTTAAGGATATATTAAAAAAAGTAACAAGATTCATATACTTATAAGAATCACTATATGCGCTGTCTTTTTGCTGTTCTTTTATGGATCGTTTCTGGAGCATCTCTACCAAGAGTCCAACAGTAGTCTGCAAGCATGGAAGGATTCCACTTTCCCTGGTACCTTTTTTCCATTGTTGAAATATCCTGATGAAAACGTTCGCCGTGCTCATCACTTACGGCTCCACAATTGTCAGGAAAAAAGTCCAGGTGTGAGTGTAGGAAATGTATCTTAAGAGACATATTACAAGCCCATCTTTTGATACGAAGACAGCATATTTTTGACAAGGGTTTTATAGTTGTCAGCTTTTCTATTTCCCAAGAAATTAGTGACCACCAGACGGAAATCATTCCAAGCAGTTTTTTCAATACCTGTTTTCAAACTGTGTATCTTTCAAAATATTTCGAATCTGTGGCCCAACAAAAATACCTTCTTTAACCTTTGCCTCACTTATTCTTGGAAATTTCTGACGCAGGTATTGAAAAGCTGACCCATCTCTATCTAATGCCTTGACAAAGTTTTTCATTAGGCCCAACTTGATAGGCAGTGGTGGTAATAAATTTTTTTTCGAATCTACTAATGGCATATGCTGTACATTTTTTTGACCTGGCTCTAGGAATTGACGAACAGGCCAGTTTTGTCTGTTGTAATGAAGTGCCTTTGCCCGACTGTCCCACTCACACAAAAAACAGCAAAACTTTGTGTAGCCTAGCTGCAGCCCAAGTAAAAGTGCAACAACTTTCAAATCGCCACAAATATGCCATTGGTGCTCATCGTATTTTATGCATGTCAATAGGTACTTCATATTGTCATATGATTCTTTCATGTGAACTGCATACCCTACAGGAAGAGATGGTAAAATATTTCCAATATGCAATAACACTGCCTTTAAACTCAATGTTGAACTGTATATAAACAATCTCCATTCTTCTGGGATATAGTTTATATTTAAAGCCGCCAGTAAGCCGTTAATGTTACTGCAGAAAACCAAGTTATTCTCCATATTGAAAAATGGTTCTAAGTCTTTGTGGCGTTTACGAAAAACACATACCGAAACATCGTCTTCTCACAAGTTCCACTGCTGCAGTCTTGATCCAAGTAACTCTGCCTTACATTTTGGAAGTTCTAAATCTCTTACAAGATCATTTAATTCTGACTGTGTTATTTTGAGCGGTTGGTGGCATGACGTGCTCGGTATAAAATCAGGATCTCTTGACGTTGATGGCATATCTTCTTCCTGACGAATCACTCGATCGCCATGATCTGATTCGTTTTCTGATTCGCAAGTGTAGGATTCTGGGGGTTTTGGAATAGGATTTTCGTCACTGTGAGGCACAGGTCTCATCGCAGATGGTATGTTTGGGTAGTTAATAACCGATTTTTTTTTTCTTGGACATACCTGTGGCTTGTCCAACACAAGGTACCATGCAAAAGTAACAGTCATTAATATGATTTGTAGGCTCTCTCCAAACCATTGGGACAGCAAAGCGCATAGACCGTTTTTTGCCATTTAACCAGCTCCTCAGACTTGAAGCACATGTATTACAGCAGATGTAATACACTGTGCCCACTGTTTGTCTTGATCACCTAGTTTACAACCGAAATAAAGCTGATATGCCTTTGTTATTAGTGGAGTAATAGACCGTCTCTGAGACGCAAAAGTCACATCACCACACACGTAACAAAACTGATCTGGATTGTTTACACACTTTCGAGACATCTTGCATGAACGCTGTCAGTCAACTGAGGAAAAAATAGCTAATATAAAACAATATAATGTACACGTATGTATAACGTAACACAATCTTGCCGATTACATCATCTTTCCTTGCCGAATATAAAAATGTAGCACGTGCATTCTTGTGAATTACAGTATATTAACACTGTCACAGCAGGAACACATATAATTACTCTAAAACTTTAACTAATATTGAAAACATAAGTTTCATTCCGGTTTTAGCACATTAAAAATAGTAGGTAATATTTTGTTGGTTTTATTTAGGATATTTTTTGGCTGTTGATCAGTGTTATAGTAAACCGAATGTATTTGCATATTTTAATGAAGCTGTTGAACGATTGAAACTTGGAAAAGAAGTACAGTGTCCCAAATAAAATGACTTTTGACTGTGACTCATATTCCTGACTGTACATTTCCATCAAAATTGACTTTTTGGATTTGTAAAACACTTTTGTGTTAGGAAAACAAATCCAATGATGATCCATGATATTCCTATGTATTTTTCGACGCTGAATCCGAATCAGGGATCGTAAAATTAACTCAATGTCTAGAATTCACCTCCGGGCCCAAAAACTACCCCTAAGACGGATGAAAATTGAGTTTAGGATGCCAGTTTTCAGAGCATGGTATCATGAATTCCGGATTTGGGGTCAACAAAGTTGTCACACCCCGGGGCCAGAAACTGCCTCTAAAGAGGGAAGAAAAATTGATTTTTATATATAATATAATATAATAATACTTCGAAAAACAATAAACTCACTTAAAACTACCTACCGTGTTGTTTTATTTCCATATGCAAAACTTAAAAGACATCCCTCGTAACAAGTTGGGAACAAGGTCTGCTCAATCGCTTTTCTGCTTGGGGATTTCGAGCTATATTCTTTGGAACGCCCCGTATAAGCCAAACGATGGTGTATGGAATAAGAATGGTATACACATGCAATTAATTGTAAACGATACCTCTATTTATCTTCATTCGAGTCTATATCCGGTGAACTTGTACGTTTAAATCAAGCGGGTAGAACCAAATACTACGTACTTCACTCGCGAACGAGGTTAATCTTTTTCTCTATTCTATTGTTTTGCACGTACTTAAGATTTTGTTCAGATGGTTATTCCATTTCCAGTATATAAGAGCAAGTAGCTCAAAAATGTCTGCCCTAAAATAATGTTTCGGAGTTATTTCATTCGTAATGAAGGTATAATAGATGGAGATCAATAACTTTCCGGATGCCAATCCTCGAAATTGGGAACAGAATAACTGGGAGAAAGTAGGCGTGTTTTTTTTTACCTTCCAGGAAACTGTAGAAGTGCCGCCGTCATCCATCAGTCTCGTTCCTATAGACGAAGTTAACTTTGTGATAGAGCAGGGCTGTCCAACATACGGCCCGCGAACTCCTTTCTTGCGGCCCGCTTCACATGTATAAATTACTCTCAAATACCGAATATGCACAATTCTTATATTAACGATAAAATACAATAACATGTGACGCCACTGGCGACCGATAGCAGGCCGCAGCGAATTTACTGGAAATTAGACCGATCTCTAGATCATCCCCGAATATTCGAGAAGCCACTGGCGCGTATATAAGAAGGTTGAATCAAGCGGGTCAGGCACCGGGAAGGGACGGCATCAACAACAGGATGCTGAAGAACCTTCCCACCAAAGGCATTGCTGCGCTCACCAACATCGCCAATGCCACTCTGAGACTTAACCACTTCCCGCGGCGGTGGCGGGAAGCCCAGGTTATAATGCTCACCAAGCCAGGCAAGGACCGGAAGTTGCCCCAGAACTATCGGCCCATCAGCCTGGTTTCCTCGATGGGCAAAGTAGTCGAAAAGGCTATCGCCGATCGACTAGAGAAGCAGGCAGAAGAACTGCAACTTCTCCCCCCAGAGCAATTCGGCTTCAGATCCTCCCACAACACGGAACTCCAAGCGCTACGACTGACAGAAAACATCACCAGCGGCTTCAATCTCCAGGAGGCAACCGGCCTCGTCCTGCTGGACGTGGAACGAGCCTTCGATCGAGTTTGGCACGATGGACTCATCGCCAAAATGGAAGCCGCCGGAATCGATGCAAACATGTGCCAACTGGTCCAGAGCTATCTAACACAAAGATGGTTCAAGGTGAAGATTGGTACATGCCACTCAACAAGACGACAGCTGGAAGCAGGCGTGCCCCAGGGGTCAGCCTTAGCCCCCCTGCTCTACAACATCTATACTCACGACGTACCGAAGACAGCTGACACAATGCTGGCCCTATATGCAGACGACACTGCTATAGCCGCCAAGCATCGACGACCCGAGATCATCCGTAGGAGACTACAGGATGAACTGGACCACATCCAGGACTGGTGCGTGAAATGGAAAATCCGCATCAACGTCCAGAAGACGCAGGCAATCTTCATCCAACGAAGAAGGGTTGCAAGACCTCTCGAAGCATCCATCTTCGACGAAGATATCCAGTGGAGCGACAAAGTCAAATATCTGGGGATCGTATTTGACAAGTCCCTCACTTGGAAAGACCACATAGAAGCTGTCATCGCAAAGACTAGAGCAGCCATGGCTCAACTCTACCCATTACTGGGTAGACACAGCCGGATGCCGCTAGCGACCAAGCTACGGCTGATCAAGGCCATCGCCAGACCTCAGCTCGCTTACGCCTCCGCGGTCTGTGGGTACGCTGCCCCCAGCTACCGCAAGCGACTTGCTGCTCTAGAGATGAAGCTACTCCGGATCGCCACCAGTGCACCATCCTACGTAAGAAACTCAACCTTGCGTAGAGACCTGCATCGGGACACCATTCACGAGTACATGAGGAAAAAAGCGGAGAAGACCTTCCAGAAAGCTCAGGACCACCCGAACGAGCAGCTACGATTCCTCATGGACTACGATCCGGACGAGAGGCCTCGCAACCGCAGAACCAGGTACCCTAGACCAAGGTCCAAGTTGGCACCCGCTAACTGGAACCTTGACTAGGAAACTAGGAGAACCCGCGGTTGCTCCCCCGCCCCCCACGGCGTGGATGCAGAGGACCAGGGACCACCGGGACCAGGACCCACCGGGACCAGGACCCACCGGGACC